CGTTCTCGGATAGTTCTCTGCAAAAAGCATTAAAATCTTCGTTTGCTTATTACTTCAACTTAAAGTCATGGCTATTTAACAAAAGAGCGAGAAGAGAAAAGTACTATTAGGGATTCCTTATAAAATAAATTGGCACCGAATTCTATATGCAGAAGTACTTAGAACCCAACTATTCCAATTTCTATGATGATTTAATACTATACTAACTTCCATGAAGTTTGCTTAAGCATTACTCCTGTAGAATGTTTGTTTATAGCTCAACTTTGATAATTCTTTTTTGCTGGATATATCTTACTACTTACTTTTCATATAGCATCGACTAAAGTCATGGCTAACTGACTAAACTAAACTAAACCAACAGTTGTTTGAAGCGGAAAATCGATAAGTACTTTTAGAATTTTTTTAAAATTGAAAACAGATTCGTATTCATGACCATCTGTAAGTAACTAGACCAATGATCAGAGTTTTTAAAGTTTTAAAATAATTAATATTGTAAACCTTGTAAATAACAATTACTTTGTATGCGATTTTAAGATCTTACAAATTTGATTTATGCAATGATAAGAAACACTTTTTAAGTGACATTTATTTTTTAGTATCATCTTAAAACAACAGCATTAGTTAATCTTAGTATTGGAAAGACATAATGAAAACAAAATTAAAATATAAATTAGTGAATTTGACAGTCGAATATTCGTTTCTCGATATCAAATTTGGTTATACAAAGGAAAAAGTATGCCGACGTCAATCAACTTTGATATTTGTGTTATTTTCACTATTAGATGAGAATTAAAATTCCTTTGTAATTTAAAAATACACCGTTGTAAATTCTGTTTAGTGCATATCTAATCCTCTCTAAGCATATTTAATTTTAAGAAAATCGTTAATGTCTTTCAGTAAAATCTATCCATCAAAAAAAGAATTATCAAAATTTAGCCATAAATAAACATTCTACAGAGTCTGTGACTTGACTCAATAGAAACTCCAAAATAACATAAAAATTTACACTTTTACATATTATTATTTATTAATTAAAATTTATATTCGTTCACTAAATTTTAGAGTGGTCACTGGATTACAAACATGATTAGTTTCCAAATGTCTGTAATTAATTATTATTTAATTATAATTAATATTTTTTTAATAATTGAATTTTAATTTTCTCTATTTGATTCCAAAATAATTTTGGAAATTAGAAACTTGAATCATATAATAGCACAAATAAAGCGATCTTTTGTTTATAATTAATTGCAATTTAATGTAAAAATAATAAGTCCTAATTTAGATTTGATATCAATTATAATAAACATTTATTCTCACATAACTATTCTCACTATAACTTAAAAGCTGTTGGTCTGGGAGAATGTACGCATAGGAACTTTTTGTAGCAAATTTTATGCTCTACAAAAGCTATATACGCGGTTTTCCTAAAAAAAAATTCTTCACGTCGAAACATCAAGTGAAAACCGAAACAAATTTTTTTTCTGTGTTATTTAAGTAGGAAAATGAATTTTTAAATGAGTTAAGCCGCTATTGCACTTACAACCTTTTATCCAGCGGCATAAATTTTTATCTTCTATAAAGTATCAGATTTTCAGGTAGCACAGAGAAAAAAAATATCGCCTAAAAATGAAGTACCCTAATGTACAGCCTTAAGCGGCGCGTAATCAAAATTTGAAATATTGAAACATTATAAAAATTGGTATATTGGGGTCCTGAGTACTCCTTAATAAAAATTCGTTGCCAATTTTTTTATATCTCTCCTAGGACTTCTCTTTTCTCTCTCTTTTGTTAAATAATCTCAGTTGGCCATGACTTATAAATTAAAGTAATAAGCAAAACAAGGTTCTAGCGCATTTTTCAGAAATCTATCCATAAACAGAGATTTTACGGGGGTGTACAGTTCTTAATTGGGACACACTGTATGTACAGGGTTATTCACGGAGAGTATTCTATTAGACGTTTATGTAGAATGTAAGCGAATATGAGCGGCGTTTCCAGATATACTCGTGACATATTACAACTTTCGTTTTTTTAACACCTTGTATATTATTACATCTTTGAATTAGATTAGGTTAGAAAACATTCTGGAACTTTTTTGTATAACATGGACCATGTATCTTGAACGGACTGGGAGATAAAAACTCATTTTTAATAAATTTGGCCACAATCAACCCGATATAAAATAATATTTTTTTTCGGAACCCACATTGTCTATATCTTAATTGACTACTTAAATTCGATCAAAATGTTTTAAATAACATCTTGCAATTGTAGGATGTAATCTATCATTATTTAAAAATGACATGTACTTTATAATAAATAATTATGCGATTGTGATGTCCGATTTACCTATAACTCGATCAATCAATCTCAATAAAAATATCGCCTCCATTCACTTCTCAGGACGACGTAACGGCGACATAATGCACAATATAAATAAATCAATATTGTATTATTAAAATTATTTCGGCCAATTGAAACAGAAAAAATTGACCGGTCAATTCCACAACGCTAACTGGAAGTATAATAAAACACCCAAAACCCATTGGTCATAACAAAGAGAACGGGGCAAATACCCTGACTTATTTCGACTTCAGCAGCAGAGACAGGCTTGGGTATTGCAAGAATATCTGGACAACACCACACAAAATGCATCCGTTTTCTGAAATAACTATTCAAGAATTATTTCCATGCGATGAAGCAAGTACGATGTTACGTCTGGCCTATCCTGTTGTACGGCGTTGAATCATGGACGCTGAAGGCGGCCATGATGAATAGATTGGAGGCGTTTGAACTCTGGTGCTACAGACGAATGTTGAGGATCCCTTGGACAGACAGAATTACGAACGATGAAGTACTTCAAAGAGTGGGTGGTGAGCGAGAGCTACTACATATCATAAAAGTAAAGAAAACATCATACTTAGGCCACCTACTCAGGCACGAAGAGTATGAGTTGCCACGACTGATAGTTGAGGGAAAGCTGGAAGGAAGGAGGGGTTTAGGAAGAAAGCGACTGTCCTGGATGCGAAACATCAGAAACTGGACCGGCCTGAACTTTGAACAAGTAATAAGAACGGCACAGGATAGACAAGCATTTGCCAATGTGATCGCCAACCTTCACTGAACACGGCACGCGATGATGATGATGATGATGAAGCAAGACGATTCCAATTTTGCCAGTTTATTTGTATTAAAATCACTGAAGATCCAGGGTTTCTTTACGGTATTAAAAATTGGAAAATTTAAGTTTTTTTTTAATTATGGCCAATTACGCACAATAGAGTGGATTATCACATATACGATGAAAATTTACATGGGGATAAATACCTGCAAGTACTTGGTGGGTTTATAAGGGTTTTTCTAAATGCTCGACCTCCACGTAACAGAGCAAACACTCGATAGCGCACCCACACATTTTACTAGAGCCGTGCAATGGCTGTTGACGTTAATGTTTGGAGATCGATGAATTGATTCACAAAGACCCTGGTTAGTTTTTCACTGCGGTGTAAAGAACTTGTGTGCTCTTGCGAAATTAGGAGTTCTGTTTCGCAAGCAGTGCATCGCTGAGTTATTTCATTTTAATTTAATTTTTGTAATAATTACGTTTACTAATTTTTGTTATGGTAGGAATACACTAAAGTCTATTATTATACGTTATACTGTTATACGTTTGTATTGTTATATTACGTTATATTTTGTATTTAATAAGTTTTTATGTATTTTACTTTAAAAAACACAAAGCATTGCAGTCTCTGCGAAAAATACATTAAAATTAAAAATGCCTCATAACAAAAAAAAACATTGCATCAAGAATCATCAAATTTTGGACACCCTGTATGCGATGAATCAATTATCAATGCGGATTTTAAACGTTTTACTCTCATGCTTTAGTTTATTGCCTATCAAAAATGGATAAAAGGCCCACTGTTAAAAATGGGAGTACATCTGGAAAAATCCAAAATATCTCAGAAACAGTTGAAAATTGTTAGGACACCTAATGAAATTCATAATTCAAGGTTTTAAATTTTTTCTAACCCCAAAAACTTCTAACACTTCAACGATTTCTACTAATAAAGCTATTACGAATGGTAGTTCATTTAAACTACATGGTGTTAGTATTGATGAAAGACTAAATTGGTCGGAACATGTTGGTGAATTGAAAGCAAAACTTAGCAATTGACTACTAAGAGAATTGATTGTCTGATAAGTACCAAATTTACTAAAGCAGGAGAGTAATACTTTTAAAATCCGCATTGATAATTGATTCATCGCATACAGGGTGTCAAAAATTTGATACAATGTTTTTTTTTTTTGTTAGTGGAGTATGTTTCATTTTAATGCATTTCTGACAGAAACTGTGTTTGTGTTTTTTAAAGAAAAATAACAGCAGGAACAAAACAAAATTGAAACAGTGAATCTTTAACTTTCTTTTTAAAAGATATATCATCTAAGGACCTTATGTTGACACTCAGAAGATTATACAAGTCAAAATGAAGTCTATTATATAATATATCAATTAATTAATATTATATAATATAATATATTATATAATATATAATAAATTATAGCCAAATCTCCTATGATAATTATGATTATCGGAATTTTTTGTTTGATACAACCAAACATATGGCATCATGCGTAGTCTTATAAACCGTGGTTGACAATGATCACGGTAACCAATCGTACCAAAGTTCTTATTACTTGTTGTTCAAATGTAAAAATAACACCCGAAGACGAGGAATTACCCCACAGTACCCCTCCGTAAGTTAAAGGAGAATGCAATAGAGCAATAAGTACTTATAAGACAAAGTAGAAACTAACACAGATCTCTTCATGGTTTAATACTTGACTTTCTACAATTGCACCTTGCTTAACTGTGTACTAATAATTTTGTTTCAATGTTCTTCTGTACAAACAGCAGTAAATATTAAATGATACCAAAGTATGATTCACCGAAATTCGCTACGAAAAACTATAAATACATATTTTATACTCACACTGTAAAGTGGTAGAAAAAGCACAACCATCCCCCAGGGTGCTCCAGGAAAACGTAAGTTTTTTCCTGCAAAGTTTTACCCTTTTTGTGATGAAACATGTATTTCGCCTTAAATGCCTGATCGATCGGCAAATAAATGGGATAGTAGGGATCGGGGACACCTCTCGGCTGTTCTTCCGCATCCACCACGATTTCCTCCTCATCGACGATATCCTCCGTCTGTATGAGATCCTTTTTCCGATAACACCGCTGTTTCTTCTGAAATTCAATTAAATGTAACAATGATTAAGCTGTATTTAACCTGCAGGCTACCTTCATTGGTGTCGAAGGCCTTTTATGGTGGGCTTCGCCCATTTTCCCCACCCGATGGTGATTATGATGGTGACCTCTGAGCCGCTGCAAAAACGGCAAATGCTCAGAACAGTCCTCATCTTCAATTGTTTCCGATTTATTGCATCTATAATTAAAGAAAAACAAGTGCTGGCATTATTATTAACATTAAAAATTCCGAACTTTCAAAAATTAAAAAACAAAACTTAAATTGAAGCCAATAGTTCCCTACTCTAAAGATTATTAATAAAAAATAAAAATATATTTTTAATCCTCTTTGGGAACAGACGGAAAATGAGTTTTGAATGTTTATAATAATATGGGGGATGCTCGAATGACGATCGATTCATACTTATGCAATTACCCCGTTTCATCGTCGGATGTGCCATCTTTGTAACCGCCTTGTAACTCCTCGTCACAATTAGTATCTCTTGTTTCCAAAGCTCCGGCGTGGTTAACAGGACTCTTAAGTACGCTCAAAACGAGGTCGTCTGTATTAACCTGGTGAATAAAGAAAAGACAGTGAGTACAGACTAACTTATAATTCTCTAGCTTAAATGCGTGTTTTTGCCGATATTGTGTCTTAAGAATAGGGAATAATTAATGCGAATCGATATTGTAGTTTTTGGTGATACCGTAAAGCTCCATTACACGACGATAAATATATTTGAATACTACGAAATTACACCTGAATAATTCATATTTAAATTGAAGAAACTTTATACCACTATACATATCATAAAATTTGTTTATATCTTTTGAAAATGCTGAAAAAAAATCTCAAGATAATTGATTCGTTATCTGCATAAACTTTAATTAGTGTCAAAAATAGTTTAGTAAAATATGACATTATAGTTTATTTAAAGGTTATGGGTATAGTAACATTGTTTTTCTACTCCTGTGCGGGAAGCGTCATTATACTACATCAGTTTCGTTTTTCACCAATCCGAGTCACATCGAACATTTCCGAAATTTTACCGCACAGATTTGGGAGCAATCGGATGTTTTCGGAGATATTTCCCACGCCTTGAATTTTGACGTTTGTCAATTCTGACGGCCATGTCAGTGAATGTATTCGTGTTTTTTGCGAAAATGTACCCAAAAACTAACGGTCGTAGACAAAGTATAGTATGCAACATCTTCGGTAAACTTTTTAAGTCACTCGTTTATTAAACACTCGCTCCGCTGCGCTCCGTGAGTCAAATGCCGTTTACCGCACTTATTGCATAATATACTATTATTGTCTAATTCCAATGAATAATGAAAATATTTATTATTTTTGGAAAATTATTTATTATAATTATTATTTATTAAACTCTAAGAGTCATTTTTTTTCTTCTAATATTGAAAAAAAGTGACATAAAAACATATAAAACCCTTCGCTATAAATTCATTACGGTTTATGTATAAAAAACCACCTGTTAAAACAATAACAACAACAACAATTCATAACAATAGAAAATCTGAACAAAACAAAACAAAACCCTACTTTCTGTTTATTTTACATGCTAGCTTTTGGATGTTAAATTGAAACCCTTAATAGTGGTCGACTTTTTTCGCTGACAAATGATTTATCATTTTGAATACATTTTAAATCACTTTTCCCTCTCTCTTTCCTCTCTAATATTACACACACGGCATCATATATTTTTGTTTAAAACAGCATCTCAAATGAAAATAGCTGTAGAGATACCCTATGACCATATTACCCTTCCTAAACGAGGTGCTTTTTAACACATATTTTTTATCGTTTCTCTCTCTCGTCTGCATCCTATTTCACTAACATTCTTTAAGCAACCTTAAGTTGAGTTATCTGAAATAATGCCTATTTATATATTTATAAAGTGTTCTATATATTATAATTATTATATAAACATTAAAATATGAATAAAAATAAAATATACTTCCCATTACATGCTCATATTAGTTGTCTGGTTTCAATTTTTTCTTTTGTGTTGTAAATTATTTAATTTCTTCTTCTAATCTCTTCGTTATTGATATGTTCTGATCTGAGAAAATAAGATCTTACAGAATATGTATTTTTCTGTGTTCTTGAAAAACTACCAACCATTGTCATTATTGTTTCTATTGATATCTTTATCCAGTTCACTACTGGATGTCGTAAATTGACAAAGGAATTTTGGGTGTCAATTTGGAAATCCGTATTAAAAGCCGCGCTAAGACATATAAATCGGTTTTGATTACGTCACGTATAGTGCTATGACTGAACCCAATACTTTATATCTCTATCTGATGTTCCTTCTCTTGATAAAATGTTGCAGGCTCTTATTTCTCAAAATTAAAAATTGCGGTCTTCCTCTTCTGACTCTGCTTTTTGCACGTCCATATTCCGCTTCGATTCTCCTATGCTTCTTTTAATTTTCTTTGCATACTGCCGACACCTTCCTCGGAATTAGCGACCATTACTGGATTATCAGCAAAAAATAGCGTTGTTAAGCAACATTTACTATTATTATCCTTATTTTGGAGCCCTTTCTTCTTAAAAATTCAAAGGATAAATAAATAAGTCTATGATTAAAAGATTCCTGGACAAATTCGAGCTTTTCTCTTTTGTATTACTTATTGACAGGTAAATATATTGTTTGAGCATGATCGTCGTACACAAAAGCCAGTTTGTCCTTCTAATTCTTACAATTTTGCCGTTCCTTTTGAACAACCTACACATACTCCTCTATAATTAGCAGACTCTATTTTACTCTTTTTATATATCGGGCTGATATATCCAAAATTCCATTCTGAATTACTATCTTTTCCTTTCAGTAGAGACTCATTAAAAATATCCGTTAATATACTTTTTACAAAACTTCTGGATTCCTCCTGCGTCAGTTTTTGCTGCATCGAACTTGCTGACGTTTCGCCAATCATCTTGTTGGCTTCTTCAGACCTTGACTGAAACTGGGGGTGGAGCTATATTGGCGACAGATAAAGACCTGAGTCGCGGTTAAGATTGTTAGGTTGTTTATAGATTTATATAGACTCTCGGATTTTTTGTTGGTAGAAGAATTGATTACATGCAAGAATTTTAGTTTTATCGAATAAAATGTGCGGTTTCATGATTGCGTTCAGCAACATCTGATGAGTTTATTTATCTTAGTCGTAAGACTCTTTCGTGTTCTTTGAGGCTAGTTTATATTTTTCGTCCGAGCTCCCCAATGTATTCTTTGCCGCCTATGATGGACCTAAGATAATGAGAGATTTTAAGTGGTAAATCTGGTTTTGACGTTATACTTCTTTAGAACTTTTAATATATGGTCAGTGAGGTTTTGAATGTAAGGAAGGACCACAGTGGCAAGTGTAGGATTGCTTTCGGCCTCATTGCTATTGGAATGCTGTTGTGAACTGTATTTTTTGATGGAACTCTTTATGTGGAAATTATTAGGGAGAAGAGCAGAAGTAAAGTGCGTTAATTCTGGGTTCAGTGACTCGGACGGAGATAGTTTGCCGGTTCTGCGAACAAGAGAGTTGATAACCGATGATTTTTGGGCCGGATGGTGATGTGACCATGCATTAAGGTATCGGTTTGTGTGCGTAGGTTTTCCGTAAACACAATGACCCAATGTTAGGTCTAATTTTCTATTGATAAGAATATCTAAGAATAGAAGGTTATTATTAGTTTCCAACTCATTGTTACAACGTATGTTAGGATGTATAGAGTTTAAATGCATAAGAAAATCTACTAGGGTTTCTTGACCATGAGGACAAATAACAAAAGGATCATCGAGGTAGTGTTTCCATAATTTTCGTTATAGATGAAAGGTGTCAACAGCTTTCGTCTCAAAGGCTTCCATAAATATATTTTCGATGACTGGTGATAGTGAAGAACCCATAGCTGTTCCCGACGTTTGTTCAAAAATTTGACCGTTATGAGAAAAATATGTTCCAGACAAACATTTTTCTATTAAGGTTTGGTTCTCGATTCTTAATATATTTAATATATCTGAAATGTTGGATTCTACGTCGAAACTAACTAGAATATCTTGTGTATCTAATGTAATGGTTCAATGAATTTCCACTCAGCAAACAGAAGTTTTGTATAGGTATTACAGGGGCCTGTGCAAGTCAGTCTTCAAGAAGTTCAACAGGAATGTTTCCAGCTCCTGTGGCTTTGCCGTTTTTTTACATGTTGTAAATTTATTCCTTCTGTCACTATATTTTCGTCTAAATATGTTTCTGTTAATTGTCCACTAAACTGTATTCTATTTTCTGCAAAAAGGTTTTTATAGTATTGCTGCGATTCGTCAATTTGAATCAAATTAAAGCCATTAGTGTCCTTTCGTAAGAGCGTGTTCGGATGAACAGCCCCACATCGTTAACATCAAAGTAAAAATGTGCAAACGATCCAAACGTGGAAATATTCAGTAGATCTGATTGTAAACTTTATTTGCGCCGTAATTCACCAAAAAAGTGCCATCGATTTTCACTTACGGAATAAAATTGTGGGAACTCTAAAAGTAACATTGCTGTAATAATTTATTTAGTGATTACTGCGAAATAGGAAAAACCAAATTTGAAGGAGCGGGAATTAATAAATGATCAGAAGTGCTCAAAGTGTCACTTTAAGCTTGGTTAAACACTGTAGCGATAGATCGTTTCCGGTACTTTAATTACGGTTTGTGAGCAATCGGTAGATTTTAAACCCTGATGGTATTGTCAGTTCAAATTACACGTCACTGAAGAGTCGTGCTGTTTTGCAAAAATTTACCCCGAATACTGTAGAAAAAGTGTAGTATGTAACACTTTAATAAACTTCTTCTGATATTCCTAATAAAGTGGAAATGGCTTAAAATTATTGTATACTTTTTAATAAAAATATTGTAACTAATAAACAGTTTACTTAAATCTAGATGTTTCTTCTCGCGTTTGGTGGCAGATGAGAATAACTGGTTTCAAATGACAAATTCACTATTGTTTGTAATAGATTCATCGACCCTTGCATTTGCATTGTTTGTCAATTCTGACGGTCATGTCATTGAAGGTATTCGTGTTGTTTTGCGAAAATGTACCCAAAAACTAACTGTCGTAGAAAAAGTATGTATGCAAAACGTTCGGTAAATTTTGTTTCCTACTCCCGTCTGTAAAATACCTAATTACACACCGATGTAGCGTGCGGGAAACGTCATTTTACCACGTCAGTTTTGTTTCACACGGATCCGAGCCACTTCGGACATTTCCGGGATTTAACCGCACAGATTTGGGAGCAATCGAATGTTTTCGGAGATATTTCCCATGCTTTGAATTTTGACGTTTGTCAATTCTGACGGTCCTGTCAGTGAATGTATTTGTGTTTATTTGCGAAAATGTACCCAAAAACTAACGGTAGTAGAAAAAGTATACTATGCAACACGTTCGGTAAACTTTTTAACTCACTCGTTTATTAAAAACTCGCTCCGCTCGTGTCAAATAAACTCGTGAGTCAAATGCCGTTTAACACACTTGTTGCATAATATACTATAAATTACTCGTTCATTAAACACTCCCTC